TTAAGAAAGAAGCCCCTCTTTGTAATTCTCTGTACTGGTCCCTTCAATGTGGGATTTTAGCTCTTTATGGTGTATAGAGGTGTGTGACATTTCTGAAGTTAACATTTCCTTTATCTGAGAATGTATTTCAGATAGATACGTACCATTTCCCACCCTTCTCCTCGCTTCTGGTGCAGTTAGTTTGCCTTGTCAAGAAATAAGCCTATGTTTGTGGGCTAGTGTTCATGGGGATCACTGCTCATAGAGGATGTGTTGCCCTTATACACCTTGTATACATTTTATGATTTGAAAACTCTAAGAATATATTTTTTTAGTTCAAGCATCCCACCTTCAGGCACCTATCATGTCTGTAATATTTGAACACATTTTTGTCTTTAACATGGGGTTCTAACGAAACTTTTGGAGTCACTTGTTAGCAAAAATTTATTAAACATTATGCAAGTTAACAGAAAATGGGATCCCACACACATTGTGTGAGTATGTGAACAACTATTTGCAACTTTCTTTGCAATATGGTACAAAACTTCTATCCTTACCTCAGCATCCCACCTGGGGTTGTGTCTTCCTTCCTCAGTGAGCTTTGCCCTTTCAGAATAGACAGTCTGCATATTCTGATTTCGGCCTTCGTATCCAGGCGCAGCTGGCTGAATTGGGTCTCTCATTGGATGACGTTGCTGTTTCCAATGGTCAGCCTATCCCACCATGGCTTATTACCATCCCCACCTATGACCTTTCTTTGAGTCATCTGAGGAAGGAGGATACTTCCGATTGGAAGTACCATCTTCTCTTTGTCAAACATCTTTTGAACCACTCTTCTGTTCCTGTTACTATGGATGGCTCAAAATCATGTGACTCTGTGGGCTCTGCCATGGCATGTTGTGGCTTGGTGGTTGCTCGCAGAATCCCCTCTACAGTTTCTGTGTTCACTACCGAGATGTATGCCATTTCTCTTGCCCTGGAACATGTAGAAGCTATGCAATTTACACTGTCTCCCTTAGCTCTCTACCAGCCCTAGAATTGTTTAAAGTTAGTTCTCATCCTGTTGTCGTTGACATTCTACAACGACTGGCTAACTTTTCACTGTCTTGTGTTTCAGTCCAATGTTTCTGGATACCTGGCCATGTCAGTATTCATGGGAACGAGTTTGCTGTCACTGTAACTAACTCTGTCGGCTCTGCCGCTGCCACAGCCTTGCCTGTTCCATTTATGGACTATGGTCCTGTAATCAAGGAATGGCTTCACACCAGTTGGCAGTCGGCTTGGGGTGAGCAGTTTCATAACTAGCTTTTTTAGATTAAACCTGCTGTTGTTGTTTGGCCATCTAGTTTCCATAAGGATCGGAAGGAGGAAGTTGTTTTGGCTAGGCTACGCATTGGTCACAGTTTTTAGCTCATTATTTTCTTTTATTTAGGACTGATCCACCAATGTGTGGCCTTTGTGACACTTAAGTAACAATAGCCCACATTTTATTGTCATAGCATCATTACGACCATGAGTGACGGCACCATTTTAGACGTACTTTCTACGGGTTTACCCCTGAAGTTGGACTTTCTCATTGGTGATGAAGACACTGTCCAACTTGATCATGTTTTTACCTTTTTATGGGCCATTGGCCTTTTTTAAGTATATTTAAGCTTTTTTACCAGCTTTTTTGACATTGTTTAGATTTTAACTTTACTTCTTTTTACTTTTTACCAGAGTTTTATCTTTACACCAGTGGTTTGGTGCAGATAGCCACATTACTTTGTGTCAGTAACCAACTAACCAACCATGTTTACAGATGTAGAGCATTAATTTACCAGAATTATTAAAACCTTGAAATTGAACAAAGAAAGATGAAGTGGGCAACAGTTGCCTAGTTCAACGTGAAAGTCTTGTAGGATGAAGCTACATAAGTTGCACTTTTATAAAATATTATCAATAGGAAACTATGAAGAATACTAATTTTATTGTTATATCTCTATCTGTAGTGTAAAGAATTGGCAAGAAATTAATGAAAAACATCATGAGTATATAAAAAAATTGTTTTTAGTTGCTTTTGATTCTATATGACTTGCCCTTGTTAACTGTTGTGTACACAAATAGGTAAATAATAGTACTATTGAATGGTAACAAAGCTTAACAAACAGATTTGTTAGCTAGAATAAAATAGTCGAAAAGAAATGTTGAGGCGTGTTTAATTTGCTGAAATTCTCTCTCCTAAAACTAAAATTATTTTTCAGCTGAAAATACTTATATGGAATTTAATTTTCATCTTATTAACACGTTAACTGCCGACTAAGAGTATACCTAGGTATTGGTTGTATCAGATTCTGCCACTACGAGTGTACTTGTAGGAAAGATTATACTATTGTATAGTAAACAGAAAATTCTCGCTTCATAGATAATGCAGCAAACAATCAGCTGGCAGTTTGGGGAACATAAATCTGTGTAATAATCATAATCAAATTTGTGTTGTTTCATTATTTGTGCTATTGAAATTCACTAAACATGATATCTCCACAAAGCTCTCTTCAACACAACTAAGTCTTACTAAGAGATGGTTACAATGGGAAAATAAATTATTATAACTGAAATAGGTTTATTTTACATGATCCATAGAATTGTTTGATCAGGTCTGAATCAATAAGCAATTGATAATCAGTAAACATTTTCAAATTTTATGATTTTATTCTTTCATGTTTCATGAACTAACAAGTTCTCCCATCATAACCAAATGACAAAAAATAATGTCCAATAAATGATTATAAATGTCTCTTTATCTTCTTGTTTGTCTGTCCATTATTGGGGCACACAATACAGGGAATACATTGCAAATGTAGTTGGTTTATTGTCTCCTACCAGCCTTTGTGCAGACACAACATGGTTTGGTTGGCTTCTTATTCTTTTCCGTGGATGACAAACATGTTAGGTAGTGTTAGTAATGGAATTGGGGGTGCACGTTGCCCCTGGCCATGAAGATCCCCAGATGGTATTATTTAGCAGATGAATTATGACACGTTCATGACAATTCAACAGTTTCATTTGCTGCCCCTTATTTTCATTGTTCAGTATGTGGGTGTTCAGAATAAATATCTGAATAATGTGAAGTGCAATCTTCTTGTACCATCGTTTTGTCTCACATAGAGCTGGGTAATACAACAACATCTAGTCAGATCTGTCATCCCGGACATGCCATTGATGTAATCGTAGATAATATTGGGTTTCTTCAAAATGTTATTATTGCGATTCACAACATAAACTATCTCCATTCTTGCATGTTGCTTATTGTGAGTACTTCCCATTTATCCTTCCATTTACAAACTACCACTGAATCTGACCACTTCCATTCATGTTTCCCCTTCTTAAATTTTTTCTTTGGATTTTCTTTACAGTGAAACTGGAGTTTTTCACAACTGTGGGTTGATCGCTCAGTCTGTTTTTTCACCAGACTCACAGAAATGTAATGATTTAATTATCTGTATACACGATATGACCTTTGTCCAGGTAATCATCTAACAGATCAAGTACAATAGCTGCAGCCTGTCCCAAGCCAGCATCATAATCAAGGTCAGTTCCAGAGTATATGTGAATTTTCAGCACCAAACCTCAAGATTCACATAGTTCCTAGAGTTTGATTCCATATTTGTGGCATTTATTTTAGATATACTATTGAAACAAGACTCTGCCACGCTAAAGTACCATGGACTCATCAATGCACAAATCCTTTCTTGAATTGTAAATATGGATCATTTCAATAATGAAATGATCCAGAGAAAGTCATACCTTATACAAATGATCATCACAAGTTTGGGAATTTTTTGTGAAATGCCAAAAATATAAGAGAATTTGGAAGCAGTTGTGACTCATAACCACTAAAAAATTATGTATTGTACAGAATACCAAGATAGGTAGGTTGTTTGGACAGCAAGAAATTTTTGCATTTCTTTTGCATCTGTGTCCTTCCAGTATTTTAGTCGTAATTCTCTTCTCTATGGTTGCTGTTGATTTTGTCCGTCACATATTAATTTGTTTCTTTGACCATGATATCTGGTAATTTCAGGGTCAGGAGTAAGTCAGTATGATCACCAGGTGAAGCATCTTGTAACTGAAGCCCAGAGTTTTCAATGAAAGTGAAATTGGGTGGATCTTACACAACATTTAACCAGTTATGCAATAGGACAGCAGGGTTCACATCATGAACTGGTGTAGCAGAACCATGTCCACCACCTCTCTGTGACCACATGGTCCTCTAGTATGGATGCCATGAACTCTAGGTCTTCCATGTGCTGCTGGTACTGCATTGTCATCATTGGAAAAATATGAGTCTGACGAAACCTTTAGGTCACCACCATCACTAGACTGCTATCATCAGTCTGCATTTCAATCTGAACATCACTATCATTTGAGAGCATTGCTTATAGAGAGGTAAAATTTGAGTATAAAGTATATGCACAGGCAATTTCAAAAGTGAAGATGTCTTTATGCCTTGGATACCTATCATTCCAACTGACACAGCCTTTGAATTCAAGAGACTTCAATTCCCATTCAACTAAACTTTGCAGTGTCCATTAACAAAGCTGAAGGACAATCTTTAGAGGTGGTTGGACTAAATTTGACAACTCCTTGTTTTTCTCATGGGCAGCTTTATATTGGATGCTCTCGTGTAGGTAATGAAAAACATTTGTATTACTTTTTACCAGAAGGCAAGACCAGGAACATTGTTTACAAAGAGGCTCTTTGATGTAGTTATTTCATTATTAGTATTAGTGTATGTATGTGTTATATCAAACATGTTTTTGTACTTATTTCCTTTTTTGTTGTCATTTCTTAATTTTTTCCCCAGAGCAATGCCGGGTACATCTGCTAGTATACTATAAGAGTTGGCAGTCAATGTGTTAATCCAAGCTGATTTGGAAAATGTGTGTGGTTTTTGCAGTAATTACTAAAATGCAACTGATTCAAATGATTTTTTTTTTAGCAGGTCTGAAACATATCACTCATTGGTGATTTCATTATAGGCTCTTGTGATAGCGGGAATTGGAGATATTGCTCGACCAGCTGAGAAATTGAGTGTATCCCAGTCATCAGCCTTGGCTGCTACAGGTATGTTGTACCAAATAAAAACCTATTAGCCTTGGCTCTCACAAATAAAATATAACATGTAAAGTATCAACTTTTATCTTCTGCAGGTTCATTTAAGTTGTAAAGAATAAAAGACAGACCTTAGTTGCCATAGGTAAGTTGTAATGTAAAATCTCAGCCTTGATTGTACAGGTAAATTGTAAAACACTGGCAATTGGCTGCCACAAGTAAGTTGTAACATCTGAAACATTTTGTCAAACTTTCTTCTCCTTTCAGATACATAACTTTGCAAATTTGCTTAGTTTCTGAATAAAGGTGTTCAATTCAAAATGCTGAAAATAAAAAGTGTAGATGAAGCTTCTGAGTGTGAGCATATGCTACTGAACACCATTTTATACATTACAAAGAAAAATATGCTTCTTTAAATTTTGTAAATTGTTTTGCTTTGCCGCTCCTGAAGAACAAATAATTGTTCAGTTGACATAACATAGTTTTTATTATAATAGGGCCACAAACAAATGTTTAACAATCATTGACTGTCTGATGTGGATGATTTTATTGATTTCTTTTTCTCTGTTATGTTAATACTATTTAAACACTAAGTCTTTATCATACAGGAATAATCTGGTCTCGTTACTCAATGGTCATTATACCTAAGAACTGGAACCTCTTAAGTGTCAATATTTTTGTTGCTCTGACTGGAATTTACCAACTCTCCCGGATCTACATGTGAGTAGGATGTTTATTACACCTTTGTGTACATACAGCTTAAAATACAGTGGGAATGAAACTGTAATGAAGACAAACACATTAGAATTTTTTATTAATTTTTTTAGATTACTGAATATGTGATTTTTACTGAATTGATGGTACTTAAGCTTTGTAAACAATCCACTTTTTACTCATAGCTTGTACATCTATACCTGTCTGTTGGTTATTATAACTGTTTCAGAATTTAGAAACATTTATTTACTTGTTTGTTACAAAAATAGTTGTTGTTTCTCATTAATTAATTAACTAATTTGTTTATTATTTATATAGTTTATTCATTACATATTTTTGCCTTTTTTGGGGGGGGGGGCTTAACTACTGGCATCCAATATAAAACACGGGTACATGCAAGTTATTTTTATGTTTTTGAATAAGAGAGAAACTTGTGAAGCTGGAACTTATTTTTATAAGTATGATTTACTTTATCTGCAGGTACCATAGTTCACAGCAAAAGCAAGCAAACCAGGAATAAACCAGAACTTCTGCAGAATACTGTAGTAATCTTGAATTTTATGGTACAAAATATTTAGTCAGTGTAAATATAATAATGAATGAACTGCACCATTGTGCTTATTCAATTGTAGTTTGATTCTGTTAATCAACAGGCTTTCCTTTATAAAGAGTAGTAGAGAACAATTTAAAATTCTTGCTAATGCAAATAATGAACAGGAACTGCATGTAAAGCAATGTTGATTAACAGAATCAAACCAGGATTGAATGAGCAAAATCATGCAGTACCCTTATTATTAAATCTATAATGTGTTAGTATTTGTTATAGTCAACATAGGTATCATGGATTATTGAGATTTTTATAATACAAAACAAATTCTTAAAAGAATGTTAAGAATAAATGGTTTTAAAAACAGATTTTCTCATTTAAAAACTGTATTTAAGTTGTTAATTCAATTGTTTGCAGCAATGCCATTGTTTTTTTATAGTCATCAGTTTATAAAAGCAAGGGTGGCTAAGACTAAAGTGTGGTAGTTAAATACTGTTTTTCTTGAGTATTTTGTAAACTAGCTGGAAACTGCTCAAACTTCCATTTTTTGTTTTGAAAACAAAGTTGTTATTTTAAGATTGCCATATTTAGTTTAATTCCATGCTCAAATTCTGTTTATTCTTAATGAAATGTATTTTGTTTAGATAAATAAAAGACAGGTTCAAATCTATATAGTGTGTTTATTCTTATATAGATACAATATAAAATGTGTGAAATACAAGTGACGAGAAATGTGTAAATGGTGAATAGAAACATGCTAATATTGTAACATCAAAATTAATAGTCAGTCTGTATAATTAGATGTACAACAGGGTTAATAATTTAAGAACTAAAATCCATCAATTTTTGATCATTCAGTATCTGTATTTGCGTGTTCTGTTCAAAAATGTAAGTAATCAGTTAAGCATTTTCATCTGTCATAGAATTATCAACAGATATGAATCTTTTTAACTGAAAATACTAATTGTATAAACAAAGACAGCATAATTTCAGTGTTATTGTTTTTTAATCTTCAATAAGCTACAGTCATCTGTTTTATTTAAACTTTGTATATAGATGGTGCCTAAGTTTATGATGAAGGCAACAGGATTGTAGGTTGTTTTTGTTTTTTCTGTTTAATGTAACATTTCAATAAACAAGCTAGTAGAAATGCGTTTTTAGTTACTTTGAAAATACTTAATCAAGAATTAGTCAAAATAATTTAAGAAGCAAGCCATAAATAGTTTAATGTGGTGGCAATCAATCCAAATTATCTTCAACCAAGTAGACTTTCTATCTAAACTCCTTATTTTAACATAGTTTGAACTAGTGTGCTTCTTAGCTTTGTGACCTTTTGTATGTATATATAGGTCAAAATCTCAACATAGGAAATAACCAAGAAGGTGTGCTATTATCAATTTTTATTACAATTTATAGTCAAACTTTCAAGTTTGGAGAGGTGCCTTCTTATCTCTGCTTACCCTTCTATTCGACTCTTCTCCAGATTTCTATCTCTAATCCAAACCACTCCATATTTAGTCCTACTGGTGGCTATATATTGACTGGTGCAATCATGATTCCACTGCTCTGGCCTTTTTTTGTACAACCTCCTCTACCCTTACTTCTATCTCAGTCTCTACTCTGTCAACCTCAATCAGACATTGTTTTTATAGACGTCACCACACTCCATCTTCACATATGGCTTTCGTCAGATCCATTGCTTCAGCCCAGGGACTGACTCTACAGGTTGCATCATTCCTTTCCCATTTCATAAGATCTTTGTCCATGTCCATTTACCAAAGACGATGTTCTAGCTTTTGGCCTCTTCAGCGTGGTTTCTGTCCTTCCCACCCTTCCATTCCTCATTTTTCCCAATTCTTCATCTGGTTGTTTGACAAAGGCATGTCCACTTCGACCACATCTAGCTAATGGGCGGCCTTGTCAAACACCTTCCATTTCTTCTAGTTTCATAGGGTTTTGTGTTCCCCTGTTATTTCCCTCCTTTTCCACTCGTGTGGTTTTTGATTTACCTGATTGGGATCTCATTGTGGTCCTTTATGTATTTTCCCATCCTGCCTTTAAACTTTTGTCTACATGTTCCATGTACCATCTTTCCCTCAAGATCTGTTTTCTTCTCTTTCTTGCTTACAGATGTCGTCAATCAGATATTTATTCCATTAATGCTATTTGCATCCTCTACCATTCCTCTTAGGTTAAACTATATCCTGACCTCTCCTTCCTCACTACGACCTATGCTGCCCATTAAGGCAATATGACTTTCAAACCCCTTACCTTACCATCTGTCTTCCACCTGTAATCCCATTGAGATCCTATTTGGCTTCTTTGTCCAGTTCGCTCCTTACAGTGTTATGTAGCAAGCACTGCCTCCTTTCAGAGTTCACATTCCTGGCTTTTTATTCCCTGGTTAGGCTTGCATATTCGGACTTATCCATGGAAGGTCTCCACTTCCTCAACATTTCTTCTCAACAAATTTGTCATCTCACCTTGTCTTTAGCTGTTTGCCTTCACTGTCCATTAGAGAAGATCATTCAGGCTGGAATGTGGACTAGTCTCAATACCTTCATCGCTCTTTATCTGTATGATCTGGCTGTATCTTTCTCAGGTGGATATCGTATCTCTCCTGTAGCAATTCTACACACGCCCTTTCATCTTTGACTGGGGTAAGTCTTATCACTTCTTTTCATTTATGGTTTTTTTTCAGAGACCCTCTTTTTTTTTTTACTACTGATAATGGGATCCCACTCTGTGGCAGATGTTGCCTCGTCAGGTATGCTTTGCCTCAAACCTGCACTATTTATTGATTGCACTATGACACTCACTGTGGCATACCCAGTGCTATATACATAAATTTCTAGATATCAGTAAGGTTTCATTCAGTGGTGGACTATCACTCATGAACTTCATGAGTACAGCATGCTGACCCTTTAATTGAATAAATCGGGGTCAGTCTGCTTTTCAGAATATGGACTTGTGGACACCCATTGAACATTCTCTGGTGTGACATTCCTCTGGACTCCCCACCATCTTTACTTCCCCCCTTTTTTCTTCCAGTGGAGCAAGGGTGTCCTTACCAGTTCCCATTTCATGAAGTGGTGCACCATGGGGGCTTCCTCTTGAGTACATTGTTGAATTTTAATTTATCATACATACTCATGAATTTCCATTCGTTGAGAAGAGGGTAAAGCTGATTTCCCTCCTTCCATTTACCCTGGATGCTTTTTCCCAGGTGGATAACTGTTGGTTGGAGCAGGACCAGGCTTTGTGGGATCCTTCTCATAACACTGGGTTCGGAATTACACTGCCCTAATTCTACAGTTGTATACAGTAGAGGCCCATCTTCTCATTAATGACAATTGCAGGAGGTTCTTTCCCTACTCCTACGGATGAGTTTGGGGGACTTTGTCTGCCTCATAATACTGGAAACAAGACGTATATACACTGTTCCTATGGTTGAATAAATGTTCCATACCATCCTCTTAATTCCGGCTGCATGATGTCGTTTTCCTACATGTATAATTGGGTAAGTTATGATTTCTGCTTGTAATATCAGTTACAGATATATCCCTGTTCTTACAGTTGAGTTGAGGCAATGGCATGACCCTGTAATGCAGAGTTCAGTTTTTTGTACCTCTTGTTCCTATGGTGGTTTTTTGAGTTTGTCCAGTTTTGGCCAACTGCTAACTTCCTCTTCCTAAGTCTGGTTGCTCGACATATAAAACTGTTTACTTACAGTTGGGGTTGATGAGTACATGTAACAAGGTCCGCATGCCCTAGCCACTTTATTTATGTTGCACTATATTTGTTTTTATCTGTTTTGATCCTCAACTTCCTAATGCCAAGGAACCTTATCTGTCCATTTACTGCCTAACAGCCTTCTGTGTACAATTGACCATTCTTCCATTTACACTAATGTTTCTCATGATAAAGAACTTGATATCTGCCCTAACCCTTTCTAACCCATCAGAATCTCAAACAGTAACTGACCTTGTAACCTTGTCTTACATATAAAGAACTTTGAATTCAATAACGGACATTGCCTTCAGGTTAACAGTACTGCAATAGGTACCGAAGTAGCTCCTAACTATGACAATGGATTTTGGGGCCATATTGAAAGCCAGCTTTTAAAGCAAAGTCCTAAAAAGCTCATACATGGAAACATTACAATGATGACATATTTTTTATTTGCACAACCGGTTCTGAATCACTTAAAAGACTGTTTCTTATGCCAACACCTTTCAAAATAATCAAGTTTACTCATTATTACCTAAATTAACTTTCTCGATGTCACTGTCATTTTAAATGACAGAATTTTACCTACCGACTACACAGAAACCCTATCGACAGACTACAATATCTTCACGATAAAAGCTGACACTAAACGGAATACTACTACAGTCAAGCTCTCCGAAAGAAGAAAATCTGTTCAGATGAAACAAATTACAGAAAATACACCAATGATCTAAAACAAACCATGTTACAATGAAGATATAAAGATAACGAAACTGACAGACAGATTGAAAAAGCTAACAACACCCAACGAAACCCATCTTTAATTTAACAGTGTAATAGTAAAGTTTCAAACGGAATTCCTCGTGTTATTACCTATCACTTTAAACTCAGAAACGTTTCCCGCATTCTGAAAAAACATTTTCGTTTACTGGAACTGAATGATTGCCTTAGACAAATAGTTCCTGAAGTTCTCGTTGTTTCCTTCCGGAAGAGCTTAAAACTTGCAGATTAGACAACGAGATTTATTACATGGATGACAACCATTCTTTGATGGGGGTATAATTCACTTTTGCACGAACAAGGATATTATTAAAGCTTCTGAACCACCGGCTCTTTTTCCCGACAAATATGACCATAAACACTTTAAAATTTCTAGATAAATTACTTGCACTACACACAACGCCATTTACCTCATCCAGGTAAAAAAAAATGCGATCACCACTATGTAGGACAGACTCAAACGACTCTTGGAAAGCGTTTCATTAAACAGAAACCTTCTATTAACACCGAAAAAGACCTCCCTGTTGCCCAACACTTTAATGATCCTGGTCATTCTATTAACTCTTATCGGCATTGAAACCGATTTCAAAACTAAAGCTGACAGAAAAAAAAAGTCTTGCGGTGGAACAATGGTAAGTTTAATGATTTACAATGTTAAAATTCAGGGCTCGATTCCCCGCGGAGGACATAGCAGATGGCCCAATGTGGCTTTTCTCTAAAACAAACAACACTATCAGAATTGTTTTTTGTAGTATGACTTCTCTATTTTTACCCCCTTATCTTTTTTAATGCTTATCATTTACTTATGATAATTTTCCACGTTTATCTTTCTAACACTAATTTTCCGCGTTCTTAATTCTACCTGATTAGCATTTTTCCTTTTTGTAATCAATCTCCATATCTTACTTTTATTTTACTTTATCAACATTCAGTGTAGTTTCTTTTGACCGTTTTTCTTTTTTAAAACAAAACATCTTTACATCTGGCATTTTTATTTCCGGTTGTATTGCACTGAAAACAAGACACTCTTATAACAATGCATTTAAAGCTGTTCAAAACACTTACGTGTTGCCATGGTGGCCTGCATGAACGTCACTCCAACATCACTTTATCTCACATTTTACCCCTGAAAAAGAAAGGTCCACTTTTCGAATGCACTCA